CTTTAATTAATTTTAATTCATTTTTTAAGTTGTGAAATTAATGATAGGAGAAAACAGCATGATTTGTTTAGCATATGTGTCAAGGTATCTTTAATTTTAATTGATTTTTTAATATGAAAAAAAAAAGTGTCAGGTGATTACAACAAAATTAACTAAAACAGGAAATAGTTAAACAATTTAATTAACGAAAACTCATTTTCCTAACAAAAGTACCCACTAATTAAAGGCACCTTTTTTTTATTTAACATATCTATACAATTTCTAATTCCCTTACTTTATCTTGTTTTAGGTACTATACATTCACAGCTAGAGACGTGGTTTAGTGATAGATTTGTTCGAAAAAGGAAAATACAAACAAACTGATCAACCATGAAAAGAAACGCAAGAGAGAGATCAGCAAAAGTTGAAAAATGGCATAGATTCAATCAAACGCTGCCATTTTTACCACGAAAGCAAGGTTATATTTTTATTTGAATGAAATAAGTGCAGGTCCTGTTTCATATTCAATTTTAAAAAATTCCTTAATCCACACCAGTGTCAAATTGAGCAAGATCACATTCACATTTGATCAGGTATTCACATCAATGTTTTTATAGTTTCAATATTTAAAACTTGAAATTTTTATATTAGAAATTTTAAATTTTAATTTTAAGATAAGTAAAAACAATTTAGAAAATAGATGTATAAGTCATCATTTAATATATCTATATCAACAGAATACATTAATTTATTTTAAATCTTTAATTTTAAATATTTTTAGTGTTATTTATTAATAATTAAATATACTCTCGCAAATAAAATTTAAAATTTAAATCTTATAAAGTCAATTAGTACTAGACCAATATGGTAAAGGATAATGGTAGATTTACCCTTATTTTTTGCACACTCCGTTACACCCTTTAACTTCTGTTACTCTCCGTTAATTACACTTAACTTTCCATTACCATCTTTCCTTTCTCTTCCTCACTGTTCACCATTCTCGCTAACCAGGCCAAAACCTGCAATTTTGTGCAAGAGCAATAGCAGAGACAAAGC